ATTTCTGTATCAGTTCATGATATATTCAGAGAAAACTCAGTAAATATAATATCAAATTGATTGCCAAATAGAACTTTGAGAGCCTAATTTATAATTGTATAACCACAACAGTAACTAATAAAACATTTTTTATCATTAAAAAGAACAAAAGTTATTTTCAGTGAATTAATATTGGTTTTTGTGATCTCTAGTGGCATGGCTTTCCGATTCCATTTTTTGTTTTACTGTGAAATTCTTATCTCCTCTGCTGACATCTGACAAACATATGGAGGTTATTTTATTTAATAATGTGCTTATAAAATCATTAAGTGCTAGTGAATATTTTTTCTTCATGTTTATTACCATGTTAATGTTTTAAAGCATCATATAATTGTGACTCTCAGTAACAGTGTACTTGTCTTTATTTTTAACTCATGCCTAAGGATTACAAGATATTTTGTCGGCTAGATATTCATGCAGAACTAGTTTTGTCATATTTTTCCCAATGTTAAAATTGGTACAGTATTTTTAAATAAATTGGCATGTATAATGTAAGAAACTGAATTTAAAGCAGTGTAATATACATTATTGATATGTTTTCTTCTGCTTCTAAAATGACAGGATTATACTTGAGACATACATTTGTGGACATTGGTATTAGAATTCTGAGTATAAAGCAATTTAATGTATTTTTATGTCTGTGTTTTCAGACAACACAGAGCTAAGCTATTATAGGCTGAAAATATCAGGAATATTTCAAATTTTAATTTAGCCATCACTCCTTTACAACAAGTAAAATGGTTCCCACGCTGAAAGATAAAAGCTATGTTGGTTTATTTTCATATTGTGAGTCAGGCATACTGGCTTTCTTCTGTGTGCCCTGTACTTTGTTAGTCCTGAGGTGATTTTTAAAGAAGCACAAAGATAATGTTCTGTTTTCTCTAATCATTTCCTTTCTTTCCTTTATAATTTCTACAATGCTGTTTTAATAAGCATACTGGTCCTTTAGCCAGCTTCTCTGATAACACTTTTATTTGTATTAGGAGCTGGTTGTGTTTCCAAATTTAAAGCTACAAACACTGAAAGCCTTAGACATCAGTACTGTTTGTGAGTTCACCTTTGACATTTAATTCTAATGATGTGCTTTGCAAATCCAAATGAGAGAATATGTTATGGAGAAAACCCAAAGAAGCCCAGTAGCTGATACATATGAGACAGCATCCTGAAGTCAGTAATAATGTCTTTTGGTTGAGAATTAGTGATAGTGAAAGAATCCTAGTGAAACTAATTAGGACCTATGCAAACAAATGTTTTCATATTGACATTAAAGTTGAATCACGTGGACTGGTACTCATTATGACTTTTCTCTGCTATATTAATATTATTATAATATCATTAATTTAAAAATTACCCACTGCTTAGGGATGTTTTAATATTGATTAATTAGCTGGACAAAAAAATTTCTCATTTCTCCTGCTCAGTTGGTACACTGCATAATTAAAACCTAGACAAGTTTTTATTCAAAAGCACTTGGAACTACTTGCTTTTCCATGGCATCCTGACTGTATTTATGCAGGAAAATGTATTTTTCCAAAGATGGGAACATTATCTGTAGGAGCTGCTATTTCCAAGCATTCCGTCCAGTGTTTCTCACATGAGGAAGGACGAGTTATGGCTGTCAGAGGCGCATCTTCCGAGGAGCTGTATTTCCAATAAATACGCTGAAGCTTGCACAGCGTTACATAATTATATTTTGTGGTTAACCAAAAGTTGAGACAAATATTTTAAAGAAAATGTTAATTCTTATTTAGTCTTGAAATCAAATTTATTTTCATCCTCTTGATAATTATGTCTATAGCAGCATTTAAATTTTTCAGCTTAGAACTGCAGAGGCATAAAAATTAACTTGATGCAAGTAATTCTACCTTCTTGTCAAACCAGTGGCTGTAGTTGTTTCTTTAGATAGTAAATCCAGTCATTACCCGTGAAATCCAAATCTCAAAAGCTCAAGGTGTCTTACCTGAGTACAAAATGGCAGCCACCAGCCCAGGTAGTTAGGAAGGCATGGTAGAATGAACTGCTGAGCTAAAGTCAGCCCTTGCTGATTTTCTTTCATCTTGTTCTGAAGTCCTGTAATACTTTTACTCCTTGTTTTGATCAGTTCTAGTCTGTTTTCTATTATTTGGTTTCAATATATATGAAAGTATGGACAGCTGTTTCGAAAAGAATAGGAAATTATAGTAGCCATTGTTGATTTCCTGTTGTCTGATTTTGAAAGGTCTGTAATGCTTTCATGCTTTTGTTTTGACTGGTTTTATACTATTTTGTTTTGTTCAAATTTATTGTATATGAAGGTATGGACAACCATTTTGAAGAAAACAAGAGACATTATGGTAGCCACTGTTGATTTCCTGTTGTCTTATTTTGAACGCCTGTGTTGTTTAGATTGTTCTATTCTGATCTGCTTTGTTCTGTTTTGTTTTGTTGTCTTTAAAATAAAAAAAAAGAATGGCTCCTGGTTCAACTCTGCATTTGTTTTAACTTTCAGTAAGAGTTTAAGCAGCAAGAGCAGGGGCTAATAGGGTACAGGTTTTCCACTCAGTTAATACAGATGTGAAAACGTAACGAAGTGGCAGATGCATATGATTGTTTATTAGTGCAAAAACAAAACAAAGAAATAACTCAACCACCTATCGGCATTGGTAGAAAAAATATTAAAACAATAAAAGGTTGCTGTGCACATGTAAAATAAAAGCAGGAAGTCTCTAAGTTTCTATGGAGTTTAGTGAAGACATTGAGTAAAAAAATGTAGTATACATAAGAGTGTGTAGTATACTAATTTCGTATAACAAGCAAGAATAGAATGTACTTATATTTTCAGAGATTAGCTTTGGAAAGATAAACCCATGCCTGATAAAAATGATTACTTGTGAGAGAAAAGTAGAGACATGAGACAGAAAGGAAAACCTAGATCCCTCTGAATGATGATGTTTTAAATTTTGACCTTAAATCACAAAACAAGATCTAATAATCAAAAACAACTAAAATAAATGAACCTAACTATACCAAGTTAATAGTATAATCACAGGGAGTATGATTTCAAGTCACTTAAGAGCATAGTGTTTTAACAGTTCATTACCAAAGCAAATCCTAAGGTCAAAAAGACTGCAAAGAAATTTTAAACTATATTAATATACCTTGCTAATTATAATGGTTGTCGTGTTATTTTCAAACTAAAACATATTAGGATACACAAATGAATATTTTTTATTATTAAGGCCTAATACTTAGAGGAAAATACCTAAATATAAAATTTTAAAACTTCTACCAAAAATTCTGTCATCTTTAATTGATTTGGTAGTGTCAGCATGGACTCCCATTAATTTTTCTCTTTTAAAACGTGTATTTCCCATCCCACTCAGTCAAGACTGAGAAGCAGTGACAATTAAGTGACAGTGACCACCCCTAGTGCTTGGACTATTATATCTAAATGTCCCTCCCCACTAGAAGGAGTCCAGGCTTTTTGGAGAAAGGACAAATTTTTATGTCTGGGACAAGAACTATACAATGATTGTAGCATAACTTGTAGCCTTATCTTTAAGGGATTGTTTAGCCAATTTGTAGAGGCTCCTACTGCCCACAGTTGAAACAATTTAAGCATCAAAGTAGGAAAATAATTACCATACATTGAAATATTTTAAATACTTTGTGTAAGTATTCTGAGTTTGTAGTGGTCATTTTTGGTCACCTTTGAACCAAAATGGATACAAAGAAAAAATTAAACATTTTTGTAACTTTTCTATGAGGCTGTATTTCATAGTCACTAAATAATCAATGAGTTTTAAGTTTATTATAGAAAATTAGAGCTATTAAATGAGGAAAGAAATAATAGGATTAGAAAATTACCATTCAACAACCTCTAATGAAACAAGTGATGTAAGAAGCAATAATGTACCAGATTATTGTGTGAAAGATTAATGACAAACCTTATAAGAGAGTCAAGCTGAAAACACCGTGGACCCGCTGACCAATCTTAGCATCTGAGTGGGGGAAAGCACGTACTGATAATGGTACAAGAGGAATTACACAGCAGTACCTATGATATATTCTTGATCAAAAGAAATTGAACCTAAATATAATGAGTCCTTAAGATATAATTACTCATCTACTCAAAATATGTATAATTTAAGAACATGTTAAAAAACACTGAGTATGAAATGATTCAGATCCCAACTGTAGAAAATTTTATGAAATAAATGACCCAGTTTCTTCAAAATAAGCGGCACTGAGAGGGAAAGATAATGGACTATAAATGAAAAGCAATTTAAGCTACCCATCACAAATAAAATGTATGATCCTTGTTTACATATATTTCAAAATAAAGAATAGTAAAGTTTTTTAAGATAAGTAATGAAAATCACAGACTGTAAATGAAATTAAGAAATTCTCAATACTATTTATAGATATGAAATTGTACTACTTGTCGTTGCTGTTAATTTAAGTCTTGTTTTTCAGAGATGCCTACTAAAATATTCAGGAATAATGTCATGTGCTGCCTGTTAAGTGTTCTAGGTTCCCACCAGAAAACATATTGAGGGGGGAATAGATAGGTTATATGAGAGTAACAGAAAGTGAATGATTTTAGAAATTGAGTGATGGGATTCAAATGAAGATTCATTGTGCTCTTATCTCTTTTACATATATTTCCATCATAAAATGTTAAAAAATTTTTAAGGCCCTCCTTCCTTATTAGCCTTGACTAGCTGAGATCATAATTAGCAGTACCTTTTCAGCAATATTTTAGATTTTAGGTGAGAGACATTGTTTCAGTGAATGTTGTATTTGTGACTCCCAACAGAAAAAGTTTCTTCTTATTGGTGAAATGCAATATCTTTTCATCTATTTAAATTTTATCAGCAGTAAAGATTCTTCTTAGAAAGAAACAACTGCTTAGGTATTGTGTTGTTAACAAGCTTACACCAAAATACACTGACATTGTACTCTTTTTTTTTTTTTTTTAGACCAAGCCACCCTGATAGAACAAGTAAAAAGAGTAAAAGAAATTGAAGCTATTGAAAGCGATTCTTTTGTTCAGCAGACATTCAGATCAAGTAAAGAAGTCAAAAAGGTAAGTTACCACACAGGCAATATGAATAAGCCTTTGGATTCCAACTGAAGATATGCTTTATTAGTAGATTTTACTTAGGTATAAGTGTGATTCCAATAAGTGAAGTAGGTCAGGAGTTTTATTGAGAATCAGTTCAACTTGCATAAAATATAATGTAAAAATGCATCTGATGCCATTTTATTATAATTTACCAAGACTAAGATGTCAACATGATGGTTCTGTTATAATAATGTGCATTTCTTAAACATATACAGTTATCTTTTAAATACAGAAACCTAGTTTTGGAATTGATAGGTGAAAGTTAGAAAAAGACTTCAAATGATAGAAGTATTACCCAGAGAGCAACATATATTTCCATCCTTTGCTCAAGTGTTTATCTTAGTCAACTACAGTAAAAGGAACTTGGACATTTCATTTCTGCTGAATTTTTTGTACCCTTTCATTAGTACAGTTGCTCTTACAAATGTGTGTATGTTCTTTTCCTAGGAAAAGGTAGTCTAAAAAATGCATGTATTCTTTAATAACATTCATAATTATAATTGCCACTTATTCTGAAATATTATATATCTAAATATATTAACAGCTATAAACATCCTGAGGATAAATGTAATAATTCACTTGTTTTCACTCCAATGTTACATATTTAAGTAATTGTAAGTTTTGAGATACCACATATATGTTTGCAAATAACCATGATCCTTAAATTTTTCAAGATGGAGTTACTTGTTATAAGTTACACTGTTTAACATGTTTCCAGACTCAGCCTCCAAAAATATTTACAACTCAGATTCCACTCAGAAGTGCAAAGAGGTGACTATCTCCTACACTGCTGTTAACTCAAAGTCCTCTCAGGCTTTTTTATGTTTATTGGCCTAATGAGTAAAAATTGATGTGTTGTTTTCATTAGCACTCCTTTATCATTAGTGACATGAAAGACTTTCATTTCTATTTTTTAAAAATAATTCATTCAGGAGCTATGACTTGAGAATGTGATACATACCAAGCACAGAACCAGGTAACCTTGGAAAATCCATAGACCCTGGTTTCTCATCATGTTGACTGAATTAAACTTTCCATAGTTTTCCATCATAATTCCTAAATCTTGGAGCTATGAAATTTGACATTCAGAAATGTAGTTACGCATTTTGTTTAATATCTTACTGTTGCATTTTATAAGCATATTCATCTGTCCTAATAGAAGTATTAAAATTTATTTTAAAATTGGCTTTTCTAAAGTTCACTGTGACTTCTCAGTTCTAACTGGACTCTCATAATCAGCATTTTCCTTCAGTGGAAATAATTATTCGTTTATAGTTCATATGGTAGGTTTTCTTCAAAAATCACCTTTTCCTATCTGGTACTATTAATGTTCTCTTTAAACTTATTTTTAATTCAATACCTCTTCTTCACAAAATGATGCATTGAAAGGTAAGAAATAGTTTCAACCAGAGAATGTGCTAAAAAGTCTCAGAAGATGGACTTGGTGAATGTACATTACTCCAAAGTCTCAGTCATCCAATATTGAACTTTTATTAATAACTACATTTAAAAATGATCAAATAAGCAGTGATAGGTTAACAATGAATAATTTCACCCTTGACTAAAATATAAGGAGGCACAACTCATTAGTTTAGAATATGACATCCCTTTCTAGTTCCTGAAATGTCTGTGTCTGCAATATAAGGCAAGGATTCAAGATGTCCAAGAAGCTGAATTATTTATCAGTTGATTACATAGCAAAACAAAGTGAATTATCTTGAGGAGTATTTGATTCGGATCATAGGGAGATATCATGGTCTATCCCTAACACATAGCAAAGATTAACTCTCTTGACGACCGCATTACTATGGCCCAAGTTTCAGCATCTTTCCCTTCTTGATAGTGCTATGCACTGTGGTATAAAGTCTGTCTCTAAGAATGTTCTATACCAACTACCCCTTCAGTTGGTACAGTCTTTTTCCAGCTGTGTTAATCCCACTAATTAAGCTAGGGAGCTATTACAAGAAGAAAATGGCTATTACCAATGATATTCTAGACACTGTGTCTCCTGAAACACATATTGATTTAACTGTTGAACGCTCTGAAATCATATTTCTCTTGCCTGAGTGGATAGAGAATTTGATAGCTCTTGCTACTTCATTAATTTTAGGAGCCAAGATGAAGTTTGTTTTCAAACAGATGTCCTAGATATGCTCAGTATCAATTATTCAGGACTAATATTATTATAGCTGAGAAATAATCAGCCTGTGTTCAGATGAAGAGTAAATAATCCCATGCATCACTGGCTTTTGTGCTTTTACTTGTAAGTGCGTGATAAATTTTCTAAACTGAACCACCAGGTGGCAGTATGACTGAAAACTAGAGCTTTTAGTACCCCTGTTGAGTTTCTTTTTATCATTAAGGCGTAATTTTCTGTTATACTTGTCCTCACTTAAAAAAGAAGCAATCATTGATTATGTCCACCAATTTTTAAGTCATTTATTATTAAATAATAATTTCCATCTCTCAGCCTAACCTTTGAGAGTTTTACCTTATATGTTTATATGTACTTCTCAAAAAATGTTAATGTATCATACAAGCAAAATCAGAATGAAATTAATTGTCTTATATATTAGAATTCTATTTCTCCGATCTGACAAAGTGGGATCCACATCTTTGACAACTAATAACAGCACTCCATATCTTTTCAAGACAGTTGAACATGGACCACCAGTCTCCTAGCTAAGGCCTGTACAGCATGACTGAGATGCGTTCAGGTACATGCTCCTATAGTTCTTACAGGACAACATAGGCTACCAAAAATCAGCTTCCTAGGCTTCGATGGACTGGCATACCTGTCACTTTCCCCACACAGAAAACTGGGCTTTCCTATTAAATGTCCTCAGTTTTTTGAAGGGTCACTATGTTACTTGGGGTCATGTACTTTGTAGGCCCAGTGTATTAGAGACATATAAATGTTTGGAAACCCAGAGAGGGGATTATTGGCTCTGAAATATAAAAAGAAATCTGTCAAATCAAAGTCAATATTTCTTTATATATCTACACATGCTAATATTATGCTTAAAATTAAGTGTTAGAATTTGTAGCATCTGCATCTTTGAAAACAATTTGTAGATCTCTCTTACTTTGTGAGCATTCCTAAACATGCTTGATGACTGCTCAGAGGCCTACCATTTGGGGTCCTTTTGTCTACAAGAGTGTGACTCTCTTCTGTGGATATACACCAGCTTTCATTAACATGAAATTTTAAGTAAGTGTTCGTAATTCAATAAAATATGCCCCTTTTTAGGAGTGGATCTTCATGTCAAAAATTAATAAGATTTCTGCTATCAATCATCACAGGATAAATGTATCAAACTTCCCCTTCTACCCTGAACAAATTGACCAGATGTATGAAGTATTACTGTTTTCAGGCACTGAATAGGCTGACTGTCTTAAGAGAAGGGAAACAAAAGAATGTAGGAACAAGAACTAATCAGTCTTTGTGTCCCTAGCATACAGCACATTGCATGTCACAAGGAAGACAATAAATATGGAATTAATTGAGTGTGTGCAAGCAAGCATAAGAAACTCTAGTTTTATTTCTTACCAGGGTATATCACCATTTTTTCCCAATCTTTTAAGTTTAAATGTCTTATATAACCTTAAAAAATCTATGCGTACATCAGATAATGAATGGATAAAGCATGGTAGATACATATAATGGAGTATTAATTAACAGTAAAAAGGAACAAAGTACTGATACATGCCACCACATGGACGTGCTTAAAAACATTATGCTAAGTGAAATAACTAGTGTCAAAAGACCATGTATTATGTGAAATATCTAGGAAAAACAAATCCATAGAGAAAATAAGCAAGTTGGTTCCCTAGGAATGAGGTTGGCAGGAATGGGGAGTGGCTACTAATGAATATGGAGGGGTTTTTTAGGGGAATGATAAAGGTATCCTAAAGTTTACTGTGATAATTGTTGCACCATTCTGTGGCTGTGCACAAAGCCAGTGAATGCTATACTTTAGGTTGGAGGATTGTATTGAAATGTTTGTATACACAATTTTTAAAGATTATCTTTTAATTTTCTTTGAAATAGCCAAGGAGGCAAATTAAATACTAGATATTTGTTACAAGATTATTTTGTTAGAATTTAGACATTGAATATGTGTACTGTATTTTCAATAGCAGACTGATACTGATTTCTTAAGAAAAATATGCTGTTGATAAATAATAAACAGTTTTCAACATTTTTGTGTTGTCTGAATAGTAATTGCTTCTCATTCAATAATATAGGACTTTTTATAGGTAGATACTATTTCAGAAGATGCCAACTGACCAATCATTATTTGGTATGAGAAATATTATTAAAGTGGATTATGTTTAAACTATTATGTGTTGAATCTTTCAGTTAGTGGAACCCAGTGAAGTGAAACATACAACTTCAGCATCAGGACCAGCTTCTGTAGTTGCTGAACCACCCAGTGTTGAGAAAGAAATAGACCCTAGTAGCATCCCTACCACCATCAAGTACCAAGATGACAATTCTCTGGCTCATCCAAATGTAAGACCTTTAAACCTTATGAGTGTCAACTGAAATCTTGTTAACTGAAATCAACTTAAACTCTTCTTTTATCTAGCACCAAGAAGGCCATTGGAGGAAATGGGTTCATGTATTCTTATTTGCTAATAGTGGGCAACTGACCTTTAGACCTTCCAACTATTCATGTTACCTGTCTTGTGGTAGTATTCTGTGTTTAAGACAAAAAAAGGCAAAAAGAAATTTTGTGATTTTTTTTTTTAATGTTTAAATCTGATATGAGAGTTCTAATTCTGGCTTAGCTCTAGTTTGTTCTTTGACTGAAAACATGTCTCTAATATATTTTGCTGTCTTAGGAAATAATTCAGTTCCATTTTGTCTCTCAGAAGGGTTATAGGAAATAAACTCAGAAATACAGGGTGAAACTTGTTACCAGTGGTGTTAATGTTAGTCCTTTTAAGACTTTCTGAGCATTTTAATTCCCAAGAAATGGACTTTAAGGAGTCATCAAGGATTAAACAATATATGAATCTTATGCTAAAAAATATATTCTATAAAGGTAATTTGTATCATATTAAGTAAAGTGAAAGTTATTTGTAGATAATATTTTTCTTTTCCTTTTTTATTTCAGTTATTTATTGAAAAAGCTGAAGCTGAGGAAAAGTGGTTCAAGAGATTAATTGCTCTCCGACAAGAGAGATTAATGGGCAGTCCTGTGGCCTAAGTAATATATTGGTTAAATCAACAGTAACTTTGAAAATTTAGGTTTTTGAACCCCAGTATTAATTTTTACTATTAAAAAGCTTATTATATAAAAATGTGATATCATTCCATCCTCTCATGTAGGCTTGAATATTTGTTGGTTTGAACTGAATCAAACATTGTGAATAGCAAAACTAGAATAAAATTGTAAAATGCATGAAAATGTTGTACCATTAATAAAGCTAATCATAAAAATATCAGTGTCAAAATGAATGGTATTCAGTAGTGTTTTATAGTACAATTTGTAAAGAGTCAAGTTATTTAAAGACAATCTTACTTATTGCATGTGTTACAAAGGAGATTTCATCTACTATGGATTATGAAACTCCATTGCATCTTTTATATCACCTTATTAAAAATATTTGAGGAATAATAAAAAGCTCCCTAAACAAAATGAGCATGGTAAAATTAAAGGAATAACATTTCTCAGTTTCTTTTTTTTTCATCCCTTAAGAATTCAAATATTCTGTACTGCAAACATATACCCGGAAAAAAGGAAGGGAATTGGGAGATGGTGGAGGGAGAGGTAAGGGAAGGAGAGGGGATGAAAAAGGAACTGGCGTGAGTTATGTGCATGGGCCAAGTCTACACAAGGAGTGTACACTTTATGTACTAATAAGCTGAAATTTAAAAATACAAAGAAGAAAAATTAAATCAATAGATAGTCTTTTCTTAAAAATCAGCTGCTAGTAGGTCCTGCTTTGAAACTTGTAAGCAGACCCCAGCTCATTCCTGTAAAATTCACTTGCTCATGGTAAACCTAACCAGTTGTGTAAGGGTGGTGGGGAAATGATTTCGGAGAAAACTGGCAAAAGTTCTCGCTGCATTCTTATTTAACCAATCGCTGTTCCTGCAGAGGAAGCCTACTAAGTATTGTTTTGATTAGGCTGTCACAGGAGACTGCCTTTCTTTCGTGGCTGAGTGACATCCAACTACAAATTCCATGCTGAACACGTCAGAGATAAGGACAGTGAGGTCTTTGCTTCCCAAGACTCACTTTCTGCTGCTGGCTTGTTTCCTAGTTCCACTTCATTCTGATGTCCAGTCTCACTCCACTGTAGTCTCCACAAGGACTGTAGCCGAGAACACAGGGTAAGCATGAAAGGACCGTGGGGTAGGGTAACCACGCTATAAAACTATCTAATACTATCTTTTTAATATCTTTGATACTATAAAATTCTTTTCTTATGGGTCTGGAGCTTAATTTTATTTTTTATTGTTACATTTTAAATATAAATAATAACATTCATCAGAGGGAATTTGTTGTGCTCATAATGTATCTTGATTCTTCTTTGGTCCCCAGTCCCCTTCCCTCCCTTTGATCCCTTTTTCTCCTCCTTATTTGCAAAGGCTTTGTTTCCATACCTTTTTTTCTTCTAAGGCAGGTCTTGCTGACCTTGAACTCGCTTATGGAGCCCCGGCGGGCCTCAAACTCGGCAGTACTCCTGCCTCAGCCTCCGAGTTGCTGGGATTACAGCTGTGTACCACTGTGAGAGTTGACCCCCCTGCTATAACCCCCTCCCCAGAGCAGGGAATGAAAGGGTTAACTCCCTAACTCCCCAGAGCGGGGAATAAAAGGGTTAACTCCCTAACTCCCCAGAGCTATCAGAGCAGAGCAGAAAGAAATGTCTAACTCCCCAGAGCTATCAGAGCAGAGAAAAAAAAAAAAAAGAAAAAAATGCACCTGCAAGGTCGTTCTGTCTCAACGAGATAAGTAAGACAAGTAACTGTTCTGTTCTGGGCACATAGTGACTGGGCTAGGACCCCCAGTCTCCATGGTTACTCAACCCCAAACCCCTCCAATCAATTTCTGCCAAATCCTATGCTGCTCAAAATTAACCAATGCGATTTGCTTCTGTAAACTTGCTTGCCTCCCGCTTGTACCCTTAAAAACCCTACACAAATTCCCCTCATGGCCCTCCGCACTTGTTTGCCTGGGGGACCCCATGCGCATGGAAATAAACTTTTTACTCCTCACTACGAGCTGAGTCCTTGGGGTCTTCTCCCCTGCGACACCGGTTCTTACATATGCAGGCCCCAGCGAGATAGTACGTCTCATGGGAGATGACCTCAACGGCTCCGCCTTACACCGCGGGTGAGTACGACCGGTCACTTTTGTTTACTTTCATTTTGAGATCGATCTACCAGTACTTTACACCCCAAGCCGAGCGGCTCCAATCTAGGGGCAATTTCTGTTATCTGTTCTCTGGTGACCGGGTGACGCCCCACACGGTTTTCCGTGACTCACCATCTGCGATAGGATTTTCCTATCGGTCTGGGGAATTTCATTCCCAATCTGTGGTCCTTCTGGGCCAATCTGGGGAATTTCATTCCCAATCTGTGGTCCTTCTGGGCCAATCTGGGGAATTTCATTCCCAATCTGTGGTCCTTCTGGGCCAATCTGGGGAATTTCATTCCCAATCTGTGGTCCTTCTGGGCCAATCTGGGGAATTTCATTCCCAATCTGTGGTCCTCTGGGCCAATCTGGGGAATTTCATTCCCAATCTGTGGTCCGTCTGGGCCAATCTGGGGAATTTCATTCCCAATCTGTGGTCCATCCGGGCCAATCTGGAGGCACCCCCTAAGGTGACTCATTTGGTGTGAAACTCATGCGTGAGAGTGAGGTGGCCGGCCTGTTTGTCCTGTGTGTTGTGACTGTTGTGATCGGTTATTTGTTGTGTCGCGCGTACGCTAACCACTCTTTGTCTTCAGAACACCATGGGACAAACGACATCGTCCCCATTGTCCCTCACCCTCGACCATTGGTCAGAGGTTTGAGAGAGGGCTCACAATCTCTCCTTACAGGTTAAAAAAGTAAATGACAGACTTTCTGCTCGTCTGAGTGGCCCACATTCTCCGTGGGTTGGCCACCAGAGGGGACTTTCCACCTTCCCCTCATCTTAGCAATTAAGAACATCATCTTCCGCCCCGGACGAAGAGGGCCACCCGGACCAGCATGCCTACATCTTGGTATGGCAGGACCTCAGGAAAGAGCCCCCACCGTGGGTAAAACCCTTCCTTCCTCCGCCCTCTCCTTGGTTGCCTGTTTAAACTTGTTACTAACTTAGGGGCTTGTTGCCCATTTCTGTTGCAGAATCCATATGGCTTATTAGATTCAAGGTTCATGATAAGAAAAATTATTTCTTTTAGCTGACCAAACTATGCAAGAAGCTCCCTTTGTTTGTGTCTTTAATGTTGTGGCATCTTGTTTAATATGTAAGACTTCAATTGATTGCTTGCAACCTCAACATACCTTTTAAAAGGAGTATTTTTTCCTCTCTGATAAAAATGTAAACATGTGCACATATATATGTATATCTATGGTTATTAAGAATCATATCAACTTTACCAAGTAAAAACCAGGTCATACTATATTTGAGCCAGTTAAAAGGTTACAGTTTTGTTTTTAAAATACAGCATTTTTATGTGGTAAAAAGACATAAAATAAGTATGTTTTAGACTACTAAAAGGTGACTTCAAGGGTTTTGTTGAGAGTTTTGATGTTGTCTGAGAAATGAAAAAAAAGGTAATTGACTGGTAATAGTAAAAAGAGGGACAAAGAGAGTGGTCTTCAAGTAAAGGTGTCTGGCTATGCCAGAATGTAAAAAAAGATTAAAGCTTAGTTTGAGAGGTATTATTGTAAGTTATAAAAGGCTCAAGAGGATGTGAATTTTATTTGTCTTGGTTTATAGTACTACAAATAACAGGTTTGACAAAAAGTAAATGTGTTCAGAATTTGACAGTATTAGATCAGTTTTGATAAAAGTATACATAAGATTGTACTTTGCTACAAAATGTTTCCATTAAAATGAGATTATAGGTGATACTACAAATAAGATACAAGTTCTTACATGTACTGTGAACATCTGGGAGATTATGCAGCACAATTTTGTTACCTATAAAAAAGCCCTTTCTGTTAAGAATATAATTTTAATAAAATGATGGCCTGCCACGTGACACCCTTGGACAAAAAACAGTGTGCCATCCAGATAAAGCCGGCTCTCTGATCCGGAATGCCAAAACCATGTTCTCCTTTTGTGCCACTCTGACTGAACATCCAGAGGTAAGAAGGTTTCCCAATATTGCCAGTTGTTCTCTTTGTAACTCAGTCGGCCCCACATGTTAGACAAAAATTACAAAGGTTTGAGAGGTTTAAAAAAATGCCCCTCAGCCAGTTAATAGAGATAGCACAAAAAGGTCTTTGAAAACTAAAAATTTACAAAAAGATAGCCAAGATGTTAAAATTGCTCTATAAAAAAAAAAAACTTTTAAAAACCAGACGAGAGTTTCTGGGGACAATTGGGTACTGTAGACTAAATTTTACTGGAAAGCTTGCCTCTATATGACTCCCATAAGGGAGAAACCCAAAATTCGCTGAACTGGACTGATAAATGTAAACAGGCCTTCCAACAGCTTAAGCGGGCCTTGACAGAGGCCCCAGCCCTGGGACTCCCTGACGTTACAAAGCCTTTCATCTTATTCATAGATAAACTCAGGGACATTGCCAAAGGAGTCCTAACTCAGGACATTGGCCCTTAAAAGAGGCCTATAGCCTACCTCTCCAAAAGACTTAATCCAGTAACAGGAGTATGGCCCCCCTGCCTTAAAATACTAGCTACTGTGACAATGTTACTTAAAAAAGCGAAGAAACACGCTTTGGGCAAATGATTTCTGTGGTAACCTCTCACAGTTTAGAGACTCTTATCAAAACCCCTCCTAAAAAAAAAAAAAAAAAAGGCTCTCCAATGCCAGAATTCTACTGTCAAGCCCTGCTTCTAGACCCAGAGTCAATGATATTCAAGACTTCTTCAGCTTTAAACCCAGCCACCCTTATGCCTGATGATGACACGGAGGAACAAAGGACACCTCTCTCCATGAGTGCGCTGACATCCTCGAACTGCAGCAAAACCTACAGGCTGATCTTACTGAACAGCTTTTGGAAAATGCCGACAACTGTTCGATAAAAACAGCTTCATCCAGAACGGCAGAGACAGATGAGTGGCCGGGACAACAGTTACCACCAAAAAGGAGGTACTCTGGGTTAAAGGGTTAGAGCCTGGCACCTCTGCCCAAAAGGCGGAGCTCATTGCTTTGACTGATGTACTAAAACTAGCCACAAAAAAAAAGGTAAACATCTATACTGATAGTACATATGCTTTTGCTACTATACATATACATAGAGCCATCTATTAAGA